GCGGTGGGGGGAGCCGGTAAAAAAAAAAAAAAAAAAAAAAAAAAAAAAAAAAAAAAATTTGTGTACTAGGTAGAAATTCAACAAATAAAAATTAGATGATATAAATATATATAAGAAAAACTTAAAATGTTTCCAAAAGATGCAAAGATTTGAATGAGAAAGCTAGAAAAAAATTGCTTTTCACCTTTGATAGTTAATTTCACTGGACACAGAACTTTTAAATAACTACACCAACTTCAGACAAACGCTCTGTTATGAAATTTGGCCAATGATTTCTTTCATTGAATCCCTGCCAGGTTTGGACGGGGCGTCCTGCTGGAGGCGGCGGGGGCCTGGGATTTGCTGGGGTGGGTGGCTGACACACACTTTACTTTTACAAACTGCTCAACTGTTTTCCCAAGGGGTTGCCGTTTCCCATCCCACTCCTGGCCATCTGGGATGGTCAGTCTCCAGTTTAGCCATCTACTAGGTGTGTGCTTGTGAGATAACAGCTCACAAAGTTTCCTCTTATAGTTTTCTCTTAACGTTTTCCCCAGAAGTTTTATCATTTTAACTCACATTTTGGTTTATGACGCATTTTGAGTTAATTTCTGTCCACGGTATGAAGTGCAGGCCAATGCTCACTTTCTCGCATGTGGTTGCTTCCTTGTCCGGTACCATTTGTGGATGAGATGCTCTGTCACCCACCGGAAGCCTCTGTACCTCATGCAAGCTGGCGGCCCCGAGTTTGTGGGTCTCTTTCTGGACCCTGTCCTGTCCCTCAGTCTCTGTGAGTCTCCATGTCAAGGCCACCCTGTCTTAACCATGGTGGCTTTATATCAGGTCGTGCTCGTCTTCTGACATTGTTCTGCTTTTTCAAAGCTGCTTTGAGCTATTCTAGATCTTTTGCATTTCCACATAAATTTTATACTCAGTTTGTCAATTCTTGAAACACTCCTGCTGGGACTTTGATTGAATCGCATTGAATGTACAGTTCAGTCTGGAGAAAACTGACATCTTAACAATATTGAGTCTTTTGATCCATGTTATTATCTTTGCTTTAAATAGCCAATTACCTTTTCAAGAGATTTACATATTTTTCCGTCTCCGTGTGACTCATGTGGCTCCCCTTGCTGGTCCTCCTCACTATTTGTGTGGATCCAGATTTCCGCCTGGCATCACTTTCCTTCTGCTTGAAAACAGTCCTTTAAAATTTCTTGTAGTGTAAGCCAGACTCTTTCAGATTTTGTATATTTTAATAAATACTTATTTTGCCTCTGATTTTCAAAGAGTGTAGATTTTTTAGGTTGATATAGTTTTTTTGTTTTTGTTTTTGTTTTTTCTTTTTCGGTACGCGGGCCTTTCACTGTTGTGGCCTCTCCCGTTGCGGAGCACAGGCTCCGGACGCGCAGGCTCAGCGGCCACGGCTCACGGGCCCAGCCGCTCCGCAGCATGTGGGATCTTCCCGGACCGGGGCACGAACCCACGTCGCCTGCATCGGCAGGCGGACTCTCAACCACTTGTGCCACCAGGGAAGCCCGGTTGATAGTTTTTTTAAATTTTATTTTAATATTTTAAGGATGTTGATCTTATGTCTTTTGGCTTGTATTATTTCCTACAAAAAGTCTGCTGTCATTCTTCTCTCTGTTCCTCAGTACATAATTTCCTGCTCTTTACAGACGATTAAATTTAGAATTTTGAGCCGTTATTTCTTAAAATATTTTTTTCTGTCCCCTCCTTTCTCTATTCTTCAGGGACTCCGATTACATATACATTAGTCTGCTTCAAGTCGTCCCAAGCTCACTGATGTTCCCTATATCCTCCTTAGTGTTTCTACTTTCTGTTTCATTTTGGATAGTTTGCATTACTATACCTTGGAAAGTTTGCTAATCTTTTTTTCTGAAATGTCTACTCTGCTTTATTTTTATGTAAACATTTTAACTTAGGTATAATTGACAGAAAAATTGTATATATTTAAGAAGTAAATGTGTAAAGTGTAAAAGCATATACATTGTGGAATGATTCCCATAATCAAATGAATTAATACATCCATCACCTCACATGGTTATTGTTTTCTTTTCTTTTTGGTGAGAATGCTTAAGATCTTTCTTACCAAATTTCAAGTATACTCTACAAAATTATGAACTATAGTCACCAAACTGTACATTAGATCCTCAAAACGTATTCATCTTAAAGGTAAAAGTTTGTCCCCTTTGATCAGCACCTCCCCACTTCCTGCACCCCCGGGCCCTGGCAACCACCATGCTATTCTGTTTCTCTGTCTGGCTTCTTTCACTGAGCGTAATACTCTCCATATTCATCCACACTGTCACAAATGGCAGGATGTCCTTTCTCATCGCTGAATAACACTGCATTACACACACACACACACACACACACACACACACACACACACACACAATTTTCTTTATCCATTCATCCATCAACAGACACCTAGGTTGTTTCCACATCTTGCTTTTGTGAATAATGCTGCAGTGAACATGGGGGTGTAGGTATCTCTTTGAGATCCTGATTTCATTTCCTTTGGACATACAAACAGAAGTGGGATTGCTCGATCATATAGTAGTTCTATTTTTAATTTTTTAAAGAACTTCCCTACTGTTTTCCATAATAGCTGTATCAATTTACATTCCCAAAAACAGAACACAAGGGTTCCCTTTCCTCCACATCCTCACCAACACTTGTTATCTCGTCTTTTTGATAACAGCCATTCTAACAGGTGTGGGGTGATACTCACTGAGGTTTTGATTTTATCTCCCTGATGATGTTGAGCACCTTTTCATGTACGATTTGAGTATCTTCTTTGAAAAAATGTCTATTCAGGTCCTTAGCCCATGTTTCCCATTGGATGATGATGATTTCCTACTGATGTATGAGTTCCCTATATATTTTAGATATTAAACCCTTATCAGATATATGGTTTGCAAATATTTTTCTCCTATGCCATAGGTTGCCTTTTCATTGTGTTGTTTCCTTTGCTGTGCAGACACTTTTTAGTTTGATGTAGTCCTACTTGTTTACTTTTGCTTTTGTTGTCATATTCAAAAAATCATTGCCCAGACCAATGTCAATAAGTTTTTGCCCTATGTATTTTTTTTTTCTTTTTTGCCCTATGTAACTCTATGGATAGGAGTTTTACAATTTCAGGTCTTAAGGTCTATAATCCATTTAATTTTTGTGAGTAGTGTAAGGTACGGGTCCAATTTCATTCATCTGCATGTGGCCATTCAGTTTTCCCAGCACCCTTTATTTAAGAGGCTGTCCTTTCCCCACAGCGTTTTCTTGTTGCCCTTGTCAAAGATTAGTTGACATTATGTGTGTGGCCTTATTTCTGGGCTCTCAATTCTGTTCCATTGGTCTGTGTGTCTGTTTTCGTATCAGTACCATATGTTTTGATTACTATAGCTTTGTGGTATAGTTGGAAATAAGGAAGTGTGATGCCTCCAGTTTTGTTCTTCTTTCTCAAGAGTGCTTTGGCTCTTCCGTGGTTCCATACAATTTTTTTTTTTCTATTTCTTGAGAAATGCCATTGGAATTGTGATAAGGATTGCATTGAATCTGTAGGTGATTTTGGGTAGTACAGACATTTTAACAATTTTCATTCTTGCAATCCAAGAACATGGGATATTTTTCCATTCTTTGTGTCTTCTTCAATTTCTTTCATCAATATCTTCTAGTTTTCAGTGCACAAGTCTTTCAATTCTTTGGTTAAATGTATTCTTAAGTCTTTTACTGTTTTTGATGCTATTGTAAATGGAATTGTTTTCGTAATTTCTCTCTCAGATAGTTCATTTTTAGTGAACAGAAACATAACCAATTTTTGGATGATGATTTTGAATCCTGCAACTTAACTGAATTTGCTCATTAGTTCTAATGGTTTTCGGTGGGGTCTTTAGAGTTTTCTCTGTATAAACAGGTTATGCCAAATGCAAACAGAGACACATTTACTTTTTCCTTTCTGATTTGGATGACTTATATATCTTTTTCTTGTCCGACTGTCGTGGCTAGAACTTCCAGTACTATGTTGCACAGAAGTGGCAAGAGTGGGCACCCTTGTTTTATTCTTGATATTAGAAGAAAAGCTTTTAGTCTTTCACCATTGAATATAATGTTAGCTGTGGGCTTGTCATATGTGGTCTTTGTTATGTGGAGGTACATTCCTTCTATATCTAATTTGTTGAGAGTTTTTATCATGACAGGATGTTGAATTTTGTCAAATGCTTTTCCTGCATCTATTAAGATGATAGTATATTTACCCTTCATTCTGTTAACGTGATATATCGCATTTATTGATTTGCCTACGTTAAACCATCCTTTCAACCTCAGGATAAATCTCACTGATCATGGTGTTTGATCTTTGCAATGTTCTGCTGAATTCAGTTTGCTAGTATTTTGTTGAGGATTTTTGCATCTGTGTTCATCTGGGATATTGGCCTGTAATTTTCTTTTCTTATAGTGTCTTTGTCTGGTTCGGTATCAGGGTAATGCTCACCCTGTAAGCTGAATTGGGGAGTGTTCCTTTCTCTTCCATTTTTTGGAAGAATTTTTGAAGGATTAGCATTAATTCTTCTTCAAATGTTTGGTAGAATTCACCAGTGAAGTCACCTTCTCCTTGTTTGGAGATTTTTTGATTACTGATACAATCTCCTTACTCACTGGTCTATTCAAATTTTCTATTTCTCCATGATTCAGTCTTGGTAGGTTGTATGCTTCTGGGAATTTATCCGTTTCTTATAGGTTACCCATCTTCCTGGCATATAACTGTTCACAGTAGTCTCTATGATTGTTTGTATTTCTGTGTTATCAGCTGTAATGTCTCCTCTTTCAGTTCTGATCCTGAGTCTTCTCTTTTTTTCCTAGTCTAGCTGTTTGTCAATTTTGTTTATTTTTTCAAAAAACCAGCTGTCAGTTTCAATGATCTTTTCTATTTGTTTTCTAGTCTCCATTTCATTTGTTTTTTGCTCTGATCTTTGTTATTTCCTTCCTTCTGCTAACTTTGGGCTTTGTTCTGTTTTTTTGTTTTTTGTTCCTTGAGGTATAAATACAGGTCATTTATTTGAAATCTTTCTTTTTTCTTATTGTAGGTGTTTTCGGCTATGAACTTCCCTCTTAGGACTGCTTTTGCTATATTCTATAAGTTTTGGTATGTTGTATTTCCATCGTCCTATGTTTCAAAATCTTTTTTTCCCTTTTGATATTTTCTTTGCTCAGGAGTATGTTGTTTAATTTCCATACTTTTGTGAATTTCTAGCTTTCCTCCTGTTGCTGATTTCTGGTTTCACACCACTGTGGTCAGAAAATCATCTTAAATTTGTTGAGACTTGTTTCATGATCTAACACAGGGGGCCCCAACCCTCGGTCCGTGGACCAGTACCAGTCCACAGCCTGTTAGGAACCAGGCCGCACAGCTGGAGGTGAGCGGCAGGCGAGCGAGCGAAGGGTCACCTGCCGCTCCCCAGCACTTGCGTTACCACCTGAACAAACCCCACCCACCATCCGTGGAAGAACTGTCTTCCTTGAAACTGGTCCCTGGTGCCCAAAAGGTTGGGTACCACTGATCTAATGTATGATCTGTCCTGGAGAATGTTCCATGTGTGCTTCAGAATGTGTATTTTCCTCCATTGAATGGAATGTTCTACAGATGTCTATTAGGCTCATTTTGTCTAAAGTGTAGTTCAAGCCCAATACATACTTATTGATCTTCTGTCTGGATGATCTATCCATGTTGAAAGTGGGGTATTAAAGATTCCTACTATTGTTGCATTGCTGTCTATTTCTGCTTTCAGATTTGTTAGTATTTGCTTAATATATTTAGGTGCTCCAATGTTGGATGCATATACATGCACAATTGTTATATTCTCTTGACAAATTGATCCATTTATCATTAATGATACTATTGATGCAAAACTGCAAAAATCACATCATCTCAACTGTATGAATTGCACTTAAAAAAGACTGAAAGGAAATTTACCAATACAACAATTTAGGCCCTCCTGGTGAGGGGCTTTTGAATTCCTTTCCGGTTTTTTTTTTTTTTTTTTTGCCTTTCATGTCCAGATCACAGTAAGTAGGGGTGGTGCACCCAGTCCCTGACCACCTACTTTGCTGTCCATCTTCTTCAAGTCTGAGAGGCAGTCAGAGGTGATCTCCCCACATTTCAAGATCAGAGAAAGATGAGCTAATTCAAAAAGCAAAAGAATTCTGGAAACAGAAACAAAACAGCATTGGGTCAATAGGAGACAACAAGAAACACCCACCTGTGGGTAGAAAAAGCCTTCAGCTGTCACTTAGGGGAGGCAGGAATAAAATGGAAGAGAAGAGAAATCCTATGGTGAGGGTCCCTAAGCCCAGCCCCCTCTGGCCCTGACACAGGATTTGGAGGGACTTCCACTGACTCAGGGCAAGTGCAGGTGCAGCGTGATGAGGGGCTGTGAGCCCTGGGCATCACCATTTGAGCCCTTGGTGGGGGGCAGGGGTGACAAGAGACAGACACACATTTCCTCGGGGCCGGCTCTTCCTATCCTGTGACCAGAGCATTCACAGTCACCAATTGCCAATCGTGGTCTTTGTGGAAATCAGCAGGTTGATGCTAAAACGTGCACGGAAATGCAAAGGACCTAGGCTATCCTAAGCAACTCTGAAAGCCAGAGGACTAAACTGCCTGATTTTAAGACTTAATATAAAACTGCAGGAATCAAGGCAATGGTTCTGGTGGGAGATGGGCCAGGCTTCTCAGCCTGACACCATCACGTCCTGATGAGGCAGTTCTCTGCTAGGTGGGGACCCGTCCTGCACACGGTGGAGTGTTTAGCAGCACCCCTGGTCACCAGCAACAGTGGCCACCAGCAGCATCCCCAGACATGCCAGCCTCCCTTGGGGATAAGCCAACACCTCCCTGCTCTTTCCGAGGCAGGCATCATAACCTGACTGTGGCCAGACCACACAGACTGCACTTGGTCAGCTCCTCTCAGGCCCGCAGTCTCACCCCCGCCTCCTTCTAGTGACCGTGACCCAGCTTCCGCCCACTCACAAGGAATGCGTCCAAGCCAGAGGAGCCCCGGCAATGCTCACCCTTGCCTTCACCTGATATGAAAACGGAAAGGTGCCCTGTGCTGACAGTGGTCACGGGACCCCCAGGAGAGGTAAACCCTCGGTCCCACTTGGTAGTCAGGTGCCATTTTTAGCTCTGGCCCCTTTACGTCCTCCTTTAAGTCCCCTGTGCCCCTTTTGGTGGCTCGGAGCACAGCTGCGGATACCTCTGGATTGTCGTCCACAGACCGTTCCTGCCTGTGTGTCAGTCCCCACAATGAACTTCCTAACTGCACTTTACAGAGCTGCCTGCTTTGTTTTTCAGTCTCAAAGACACTTCTCAGCCAGGAGAATATTATCCAACATCTCCACCTCCCAACACCCACCCCGGAAGCAAGCAGCCTGTCCGCTGTAATAGGCACCCTCCCTTCTCCCTTCACTGGCGTGGATGCGGGTCCCTGCCCTCTGCCCCAACCCGTGCAGCCTGGACCTCCAAGCGCCCTGGTGGGGCCTCCAGACCCACAGCCCCTCTGACCTCCCCGAGCTCCGGCCACCTGGGCCTGTTGTACAGGGAAGAAGGGAGAACCCACAAAGGGAGCCATCACTGATTTTCAGTGCTTGCTCGGTCTTAACCTCACAGAACTTTTATTTCTACCCAGAATTCTAGATACAGAAGCTCAGGTGGGGAGGGGTCAGCGGGCCCCTCACAGACGGCTGGAGCCTCAGGGCTGAGGAAGGACCTGACCCCACAGACAGCATCTCCAAGCGGCTGAGCCTGTGACCCAGGCCAGCAGGGGCCACCCCCCTCCCAGGTCTGGGGAGCAGCTGGGCTGAGCACTCGGGAAGCCACATCACAAGCCACCAGCCAGCCTCTTAGCCACCACGCAGTAAACTGGCAACCGTGAAGCCACAGACCCACAGGCGGGGTGGGGGAGAGGGGGCGTGTGGCAGGCGTGGGCACAGAGGCCAAGGGCAGGCGCGGGGGGCCAGGAGCAGGGGCGCAGCTGGCTCCATGCAGGCCACATGCCGGGGCTCCTGGGGGAGCCAGGTGAGCGCCCACCGACCGGGCTGCTGGGCCAGAAGCGTGGGGACTCCCTGACGGGTCTAAATGGAGCCTCTGGTCCAGGATGGTGGGGGATGAACGTCAGCTCAAATTATTCTTATCTTAAATAAAACACAGCTGGGGACTTGCCTGGTGGCGCAGTGGTTAGGAATCTGCCTGCCAATGCGGGGGACACGGGTTCGAGCCCTGGTCCGGGAAGATCCCACATGCTGTGGAGCAACTAAGCCTGTGCACCACAGCTACTGAAGCCCGCACGCCTAGAGCCCAGGCTCCGCGACAAGAGAAGCCACCGCAATGAGAAGCCCACGCGCAGCAACGAAGACCCAATGCAGCCAAAAATAAATAAATAAATTAAATAAAAATAAAACACACCTGTACATCAAAAATTGTTTTAAAAGACCTAAAAAGTAAACATACTGACACAATTGATAATTATACTGGAATTGGAGGGCTCAAATTTTGAAACAGAAAAAGCTTTTGCAAGTCCTTAGTAAAATGATTTTACAACCTACTTTTTAAAAACTGGGCAAAAGAAATCATTGGAAAATTAACGAGAGAAAAAAAATGTCCATAACTGTATGAAAATAAGTTCCACTTCACCAGCTGGGAGTGGAGCTGCAGTGGAGTCAGTGCAGTCCCAGGTGGCGGGGCAGGTGTCCTGGTGTCATGTGGTTCCCTCTGTCCCCATGGTTCCCCCTCTGGAACCTGCCAGGGCCCCTCAGGGAGGCTGTGCCCAGGCACGGGACCTGCTCTGAGTTAGAGCAACTCAGAAAACCTGATGAGAGAGCTGAACTGGGGGTACATTCCAGACCCTTGTTTCAGCCTCTGGCTCAACTACCAGTTCCCAGGAATCCGATCCAGGACTGAGCTCTGAGCAGTACTCCCAGGACTCAGGCAGCAGAGAGCTGACAACTGAACTGCTCAGGGAGAGGCACGCTCCTCTGCGGCTGAACTGTGAGGAGTCTATTCAGAAGGTGTAAGATGGTGTCATAACTTGAAAAGCACTTGTGATTAGAAGTCGAATTTGACCTTTAAAAAGTATGATGTGAAGTTTCATAACCCAAGTGCTGCCAAACAGTACACACCTCAGGACGTAAAAAGACTAGACAGAAATACACTGAAACCTCCACAATGCTTGATACTTGCTTGGGTAATGATGGTTATGTGTGTTTTTTTCCCCACATTTCCCTATAGTTACGAAATGCTGTACATAGATGTGAAACTGGAAAAACATAAACACTCACTTTTCCTCTCTGATTGAAGAAGTGCTCTGGTGATTGTAACAACTTAAACATTTATAGGTGTCCTTCAGAATTTTGTTGATATCTTCAGATAAATCATTTTTATCCAGTTTTCTAGAACACAGATTGATTTAATCAAATATTAAATAACCAAAAGATCCTGTCAGATTTCTTTAAATTACCCTAAAAAAATCTGAAGTCCATGAACTTGTGTCCTCACTGAACAGAAGGCCTCAGGTAACACCTTCTCCATTCTCCTGATGACCCCTCCCGCCCTCCTCCCTCACTGCCAGCCCAGGCTCTATCTCCCTCCATCACTAAGGACGGATCCCGAGGACACTGTGCACAGGCCCTGCACCCAGAACGAGTCCCACACCAAGAGCCCACCGAAAGGGAGGCTTGGCCCTTCCCATCTGCCCAGATCCAACCCAGACCAGCACCTGCCTCCCTCTGGACAGCTGTCCTCCTCACTCACACCGGGATCTTCTCACTCACACGCTGGAAATCTCCTCACGCACACACACCAGGATCTCCTCACACCCCGGGTTCTCTTCACTCACGTACACCGGGATCTCCTCACCACACACACCAGGTTCTCTACCATCTATTTCCCTCTCGCCACAGCAGGTCTCTACCTGGGTATAATCTCTCCCATGCACTCTCACCCAGTCCCATGAGGGTCTTGCCCACGACTACTCTCTTTTTGTTCAAGCTCATGGTCCGGTCTCAAGCTTCCTTTGGCAGGGCCAACTGAAGCATCTGACATGGCTGCTGTCCCTCTCTTCTAAAACCACCCTCCTCACTGCTGATGAGCTGCACTCACTCTGGCATCCTCCCCGGAGCCTCTCAGTAAAGGGCGGCAAGGCTGAGCCCGCCATCCAGCCTCACCGTCCCTGCACGTGTGCCCCCCACCCCGGCACAGAGACTAGTCGGCGCCTATCCCCCTTCCCAAAGCACTTACGCTTTTAGCACATTAATCTGGAAAGTGACAGACAGGCCAATAGAACTTCTCTTTTCTTGCTTTAACTGAAGCTCATCCATTAATTCATGTCGGACCTGTTATAAGGTGAAAACAGAATATTAACAGAGATTTAAGCAAATAATTAGGGAAA